TTTGGTTTTCATTCACCTCGAAACATTCCGCACGGTTATGAATTTGATTTTGGGCGGTTTCGTCACCGATACTTTGCAACGGCGACAAAGCGAAAGTAAATGTCAATTTCATTTCATGCTATTTTTGATAGTAAATATACCGCATTTTCAATTTATTCAAAGAGATAAAATCTTGTCACTTCATTTGAGATCGATAACGACCGATAAGATGGAGCGCGAATGACGGCGCAAAAAAGAAGAGACGGATGATGACGATGAAACGTGTGCGCGATGTGTAATACGGCATAGAAAAAAAGCCCGTGACAGAGCCAGCCAGCATCAGCGGCAGCAACAACAAAATTCGCTTATCACATAATTTCATCAAATTAAAGACATTTTAATGTGAAGACTATGTAACAAATATCAAGGCCATTGGTCAGCTGAAGATACCGCGAGTACATTAACAAAAGAATCACTTTGGATCATGGTCATCTTCTATTTCCAATCTGCTATCAATAGATGCAGGGCTTTTTTTGTCATTGTTTTATTTTTGACAGTTTGTTATATTTTAAAATTGGTCCAAATGAAAAAAAAAACAATAAAGCAACGCGAAACGTAGCAAAACAAACAAATGAATGGAAAATAAAATGCTTGTGAAACCGCGTGCATTGAATGTCAAAACATATTAAAAATGATCTCAATTAAAATTGAATTGAATGTATGTACTCAGGCGTAAATGATGACCATTCTCGGTTTTTCCACCTAAAAAGTGGGTTTTCCCCACAGAAAATTAAAATCCGCTCACGGTCAAATCTAACCTAGATTCGGATTAATGTCTAATAAAAGTGTTGATCGAAAATTAATTTCCGTTTTCAATAACACATGACAAACAGTTGGGACAAAAAAAAATATGCCCCAATGAAAATCAACTGAAGAAAATTCTTTACAAATACAAAATAAACTTTATATAATTGAATAGCAGCATAAATGTGATGAAAGAAAACTAGCACAATATAATAAAGTAATGAAAAAAAATACGCGAAGAACAAAAGTGAAGCGAATCACTCTAGCTCTCTATTTTAGGATAAACATTGTACAAAAATGTCGTGTGAAATGAATGAAATCAATTCTCTGCGCCGCTACATAATTGTTTCAGCAATGCTGCTGTGCGGTTATGCAATCATTTCATTTTATGTTTTCAATCAAAAATCCACCCAAAAAAAAATTGAGTGCATGCGGTAATTTGGTGTGATTGTGTGTTATAGTGTGTAGTGATTGTCTTCATTCATCAATCTCATTGAATTGGATTTCGCCAATTTTTATGACTAAATAACGCAAACACTCATAAAACGCGATCACAACATAAATTCGTTGTCTGTCAGATATTGGATGACAGAAAAATGAAATCGGCCACGTGCAATCATTTTTATTTTAATGATCGAGAGTCAAACAGACGCTACAGACAATACAAAAATATCTATTTTATTCAAGTTCATGGTTGCATTTCGATTTGTTTGCGTTTCTTTTTCGACTGTTTCCATTTATCATGCGTCGAGTCTGCGCGGACATCGAACGCCAATCGTGATTGATTTGAACACTTTGAGGCAGTTGTTTCAAATGGAAATTTTCCTAATATGACTCATTTGTAAGAAAAGAAATTCTCTTGCTCACGTAAATGTTTTAGACGAAAATTTTCCAAATGGTTTGTCTTCGGCTTTCATGATCCAAAGTTCCTGTTTGTGTAAAATAGAAAAAATTTGACGTTGCGATGCAAAACGATGCCAATTGCGCGCATCATTTGGTTTGTGAGTGAAAGTTTTTGTACAGTAATTGTTTGATGCTATCGTGAATGATGATGATGATGATGATGGCAGAAAAAAAACGCATCAACACAGGAACAAGCCCAACGCTTCGGTTTACGGTGCATGGGAAAAAAAAGAGCATAATCACTTCGGCAAGCAAAATCTTCATCGCACGAGAGCACTCATCGAGACGAAAACAAAATTATTCATGACGAACAATCACACACCACTTATATTCCGAAATAAATTTTGTCGCATTACGGAACGAAGTACTTCTTTTGCCTATCGCGCCCAATCCAACACCAACCACACTGTTTACATTTATGAATAATGCAGGCACAAGTGCATGTGCACAATATATCTTCATATTCTGGGAATCGCAAGTGCTTGTACATAATGAAAAAATCCAATGCTACTGTTTGTTTACGATAAGCATGGGCATATCGTTAACAGCCTGCAATAGATTTATTGACCAAAAGAGAGGTAGAGAGAGAGAGAGAGAGAGAGAGAGAGAGAGAGAGAGAGAGAAAGAGGTATAGACCGCCTATAGCTACCACAACGGTTGGACGTATTTTTGTTTTGATGCAGCCACATGACGTTTGTTTTCATTCAGTATTTCTGTTTTCGTTGGCATTTCGCTTTTAACGCTTGAATCATAATTTATTTGTTGCACAATTGCTCATGCAAAAGCTATTACGAGTATGCGCCGTAGCGCGCGTCACCTGATCTCTACGCTTCGTCCCATTCATATGCTTCGGAAAATGAAGCGGTTTTACCGGAGCCATGTATAACTCCGAAGAGCAAATCCAATTCGTTCTGCAAAAAGTTCAATAGTTTAACATGCAGTACGGTGGTGCATAGATTTGCGTCGATAAAACCTGAATTATTCGTCTATTCTGTTTTCTTCACCGTGCATTGAACTGAATCCAGAACCATTTGTTTCATTTATTATCGTTCAATATAATGGATGATACATCGAGCACACACGTGTTCCGTGGCCAATTCCCAAATCGATGTCGTAGTTGGATGCAACACGGGAACCAATCTCTGCACCATGCACATTATTCGTCGAAATTCCAATACAGCGCTATGCAATTGATAGTTATGAATGTTCATCATTCAAGCATCTTGTTGAGGGTAACGAATCAAATTGGCCGAAAGAGAGAGAGAGAGAGAGAATAAGCAAGCTCGCTGGCTTGCATCGCGTTGTATTTACCTCACCCAACCGCATGTCCAATGCAAAAACCGATTATTTTTGTGCTAAAAATGCTGTAAAAGCTCTCTGCTCATAAGCAAACTTCCAAATAAAATATCAACCGTATGGCTTCGAATTCTTCGAGCACAATGAGCACACGTTATTTTGTTCCTCTGTTGTTTCATTTCCATCGCATTTTTTTCGCTTGCTGCAGTATTTTTTAATTGTTATACCACGGAGGCTCGCATGTTGAATATTATTGTTGTTATTCTGGCGGCTAATTTTGTTGTATGCTCATTTGGTTCTTATGTAATTGTTTTATTTTTCTTTCATTTTTTTTCTACAACTTCGCGTTCAGCTGTAGCTGTGCGATTGTGAAGAAATGCAAAAAGACAGTATGACAGAGGGAAAAAAAAGAAGTACATAGAAAAATAAAAGCGATTCATACAAGAAATGAAAGTCACAAAGAGTTTGTAATTGTTATTTTTATGTGTGCAAATTGTGTGCGCGGTTTATCTTCACTCTTTTCTCGGTTAATTGTTGTCAGTTCGTGTCTTGATTATTGCTTACCAGTTTAATTATGCCACCCATTAATGGGTAGAGTTGAGTCATTTTCAATCAATTTGATCGAATCATGGCGATTAAAGCCCTCAACTGACGGCGCCATCACAAATTCATTTACGACGCATTATTAAGTCGTTAAATATGTCAACATAATAACATCATTTGATGCAAATTTAAATTGTTTTCAACTGTTTGTACTGTATGTAAATGTATCTTTACTTCTTCGTCTTACGCATGAGCATTGATTTCAGTTGATTTGCTGTTTGTCATGCGATTTGCAAACATACTCGATGCTGTTCCGTAAAAAATACGTGCACACTGAGAGACCTGCTAATTGAACGAGACATTGATAAGGGGGAACAAATTGAGAATTATGAGAAAAACAACAAATCTGTAAATATTGCGCGTGAAGTAAAAAGTGTCGACGATCAAAAACGCTGCCGTCATCCATACGCAGTTAAAATGGGTTTTTACGATTGAAAAACTATTTCAAAGTCAAAAAGCCCGAATCACAACAGCATATTCAAGATCCACTTGAATATGATAACCAATATGCGTACTCTATTATAGTGTTAGTGGTTGTTGTACTCTTTGAATGGATAAGATGACCGGGGATAAAGAGAATTTTTAACTGGCTAAGGCCTAGCAACAGATAGATTTCATTATTGAATATAGCCGATTCTAATTTTTGAAGGTCACGATTCCAAACTCTCAATTGAATGTCCAAGAATGAAAACGCAACTTCTATTCACAACACATATAAGTGAAACAAA